AACAGGAAGTGACCGGAAACAAGAGCTGCTATTTCAAAATAACACAGGAGTTTACTGTTTCAAACTAAAGCGGGAGTTTATTATTTAAAAAAAAACTAGAGTAAATCCTTCAAACTAAAGCAGGAGTTACTACTTCAAAGTCACGGTCAGATCGAGTTGGTGTTTTGTCCCGTCTCCATAGTGGTCTTTGTCATTTCCTGTTTTATTTTGAAAAGCGAGTATTATTTTGTACTTTTTTAGTTTTTCTGTCCGAAAAAGATGGACAATTATTTTGTACTTTTATAGTTTTTTATATTTGGGTGCTGCCTTTGTGTTCGTTGGTTGACTCTTTTCTTTGTTTAATAAATTATATTCTTATTACCCAGAGCTTCTGGTTTGTGTTTCTTTACCTATATGAGCCAGTTGGAACAGCTCTGAGTGTTTTTATGTCCTCACATCCTTTTGTTTTACCTCGTTTGAGAGATTATTAGTTTATCGCTTTGCTTCTCCACTCCACCAGAGTGTGTCCTTTTGTTTAATAAAGACCTGGAATCTGCTAACCTCTGCATTTGAGTCTGTCTGACAATCAAACCAAAGCAGGAGTTACTATTTTTAAATAAAACAAGAGTTGAATACCAACTCTTGTTTTAACTAAAGCAGGAAATGACAAGAGTGAGACAGGATTTAGAGAACAAAGGTTAAAAGGGAAGTATTTTAAGCCTTTTTACAGTTCAGGGGAGGCTCATGACAAATAAGGTCCAAAAATGTACAACTACAAACCAATAAGACTTGGAAATAAAAAGATAATCACAAGAAAACAGAAAAAAAGCCGGTGGGAAAGAAGGAATCTCAGTTTGGTCGGTTTGACCAACAGGACACAGGCTGGAATCCAGGGACCTCATCTGCCAGAATAAATAAGGAAATCCGGGATTCAGACTGGTCAGGAAGTGTTAAATGACCCGTTTTTTCTTTTTAATTTGCCAGAAATCAACTTGCAGAATCAGACTTTACTGATTTGAGCTGAAAATAGAAAGAAAACCAAACGTTCTGACGCCTCAAAGGGAGAAATAAGTCAAATTATTAAAAGAAATCAAAAGAAATCAGAATATCTCAAATTTAAACTCTGTGTTTGTGCTTTTAAAAATGTATTTGGGAATCAAAAAATTACAAAAAGACCTAAAAGTAAATCAGAACCTCTGTAATCGAATGTTCAGAATCTCAATTCCTGCTTTTCTCCTCCAGAACCAGCTCTGATTTCCACTAAATGAGCTTTATTATAGCAGATATTACAGAAACATGAGTTCAGGAGCTGGAACAGCTTCATTGAGATGGAATAACTCAGCATTCAAGGATTTAATTCACTTTTTGCTTTAGCTTTTTGGTTTACAAGCATAAGAAACAGACCTTAGGACAATAAAAGGATTTCTAATACATTAAAGTGTCTCTTTGATCTGTTTTATGAATGATCCCTGTAAACTGTAAATAATGCACATTATAGGCTAAGAAACTGTAAATATTGAATATTTTAGTGAAAAAATGTAAATAATGCACATTTCAGTGTAAAAAACTCTAAATAATCTATATTTTAGGGTAAATAAACAGTAAATAATGCACATTTTAGGGTAAAAAATGTAAATAATGCAAATTTTAGTGTAAAAAACAGCAAATAATGCACATTTTAGTGTAAAAAATGTAAATAATGCACATTTTAAGGTAAACTAGAAATTTCTGAAGAAATTTTGAGGGGGGCCACCCGCTGCCCGTCCGGGAACAGGTCGGCCAATCGATATTTGGGCTCTCTGTAATGTGGGCTCGCGCCTATGAGAGGGCCTGAGGTGATGGAGGGAC